AATACAAATAGATAAAAATAGTAAAATATGTAAAGTTTCCATGAAATGGACCACAGGTATTAAGTCTACTGATAGGAGACAACTGCCCAACTCTTCTACAAGGCCTGACCTGAATAAAGCATCAGAGCCAAGGGAAATGTCAGTATTTTGTCTCCATTTTGGAGATGAAGAAACTGAAGTACACCCAATTCCTTCCAAGATTGTGTTGATTTGTTCATTGAGTTAAAGATATGTACATATATTTTTTATCATATTATGTGTGTATACATGTACACACATACATAAAATATAGTTTTACAGTACTTTTTTATTAAGGCTTTAAGATTTTATTTACTTATCTGACACACACAGAGAGAGAGAGAGAGAGAGAGAGAGAGAGAGAGTGAGCACTCACAAGCAGGAAGAGCAGGAGAGGGAGGAGAAGCATGCTCCCCATCAAGCATGGAGCCCGATGTGGGGCTCGATCCTAGGAACCCTGGTACCATGACCTGAGCTGAAGGTAGATGCTTAAGCAACTGAGCCATCCAGGTGCCCCAAGACTATTTTTTTTTTTAGAACAGTATTAGGTTCACAGCAAATTGAGGGGAAAGTACAGGGATTTCTCATATATCTCCAGCCCCTACACATGTATATCCTTCCCCATTATTGATATCCCTCATCAGAGTGGTATACTTTTAAAAGTGATGAACCTACACTGACACATCATAATTACCTAAAGTCCATAGTTTACATAAGGGTTTATGCTTAGCGTTGTGTATTCTATGTGTCTGGACAAAAGTACAAAAACATATTCATCATTATGATACCATACAGATTGATCACTCTAAAAATTTTCTATGACTTGCTTGTACATCACTCCCTTCACTGCCAACCATTAATCTTTTTTACTGTCCCCATAGTTTTGCCTTTTCCAGAAATGTCATATAGTTGGAATCACACAGTATGTAGCATTTTCAGATTGGCTTCTTTCACTTAAAAATATGCATGTAAGGCTCTTCCATAACTTTTCATAACTTGATAGTTTATTTAGTTTTAGCACTTAATAATATTTCATTGTATGGATCTATCACAGTTTATCCATTCAACTACTAAAGGACATCTCAGTTGCTTCCAAGTTTTGGCAATTATGAATATAACTGCTATAAACATCTGTATGCAGGGTTTTTTTATGAATATAAGCTTTCAATTCCTTTTGGTAAATACTAAGGAATGTGACTGCTGGATCACAGAGTTATCTTTAGGATTATAAGAAACTCCCAAGTTTTCCAAAGTCACTGTACCATTTTGCATTCCCACCAGCAATGACTGAGAGCTCCTGGTGCTCCAAACCTTGCCAGCATGCGGTGTTATCAGTGTTCTGGATTTTGGCTATTCTAATAGGTATATAGTGGTATCTCAGTGTTGTGGTTGTTTTGTTTGTTTGAAACAGGCTCCAATGTACAATGTGGGGCTGAACTCATGACCCAGAGATCAAGACATGTTCTATGCACTGAACCACCCAGGCACCCCAAGCTACAGGACTTTTAAAAACAGGTTGAGGGGTGTCTGGGTGACTCAGTTTGTTAAGCATTCAACTCCTGATCTCAGCTTGGGTCTCGATCCCAGGGTCATAAGTTTAGGCCCTGCACTGGACTTCATGTTAGGCTTGGAGCCTACTTAATAAAGAAAAAACATTTTTTTTAAATTTGAAAACAGGTTAATAACTAGATCAATCTTATACTTAAAGCCTTTCAGGTTGAGCATCTGACCCAAGTCCTAGCAATCTGACCAAGACTTGACCACACATAGCTAGCTCTAAGCTGCTCAAAACAAAGCAGTTTGCATCCTGCCACAGTATGTCTTGGGATTAACAAAATCATAAAATTTTCCATCTGGAGGGGACTCCATGCTCCAACATGGCATTTCATACAGACATCTGTTTTAGAACACAACACAGAAGTGCTATTTTATTTCTCTCTCATGTTATAGGGCTACAAGTACACAGGTCTACGTCCATCTTACATGCTGTTTACACAGAACAGCACATAGACCATAACAGGAATAAACTGCTTAGAAAATGAATAATTTAGTGATAGAAATCTCTAGACCCCCTACCACTACCGCTATGAAGGAATTCTAATACATGAATTTGGTAAGTCATAAAAAGTATAAAAACTAAAGAAATGTAATGCTAAGACATTTATTTTTCAAACTTGTAAATGTCCTTGTGTGAAAGGCATAAACACTCTTACTGAGCCTCTCTGAAGCCTCAGCTTCCACATCTGTGGGACAGGACAGTCATGATCAGTCTAAAGTCCGAGGATCCAGTGAAAGTTGGAATGTGTATTGTTCCCATGACAATGCGGACACAGAGTAGACACTAAGTCACTATTCCCATTATTGGCAGCAGCACCAGTATTAACTACAGCCTAAATCTCCCTCCACAACAGGCACCTATCTGCCTTAGGGAGCACCCTCCGGCTGACTCTGTGAATGGAGTAAAGGTCCTTCTTCGCCTTGGTAAACCATCAGAGTTAGTCATATTACCCTGCTTTCTGATGTGACAGCACAGGGAACAATGTGCTACAGTAAGATAGTCTAAAACAACCTATTCAAACTCAAATATCTGAAAGGCTTGGGAGTCGGAATGAGAGAAAGATGTAAATGCTGGTTAGTCAGCTGATAACTCACTCAAAGGAAAGCAGACAGCTATTCATGAACTACTGAGGCAAGCCTACAGCCCTCGTGAGTGGACGGCCACGTCACATCCAAGGTCATAAACCCCTCTGTCTTCTGGAGCACTTTCTTGCCCTTCCCCTTACTTTCCTTCCTTTTTCTTTCTCCACTGCCCTCCTGATGCTCTCCACTATTTCTTCTGAGTCCTTCTCATCTCTTTTTAGCAATCAGAATTCAATCCAATTCTTAGTCTTTGTACTTACTGAACTTTTCAACAACATAATGATACAGGTTTTAAAGACAACAGGGGGGATGGGGGATGTGGGGGCAGGCACCAGGGCGGCTGAGTCATTAAGCATCCTACTCCTGATACTGGCTCAGGTCATGATCTCAGGGTCGTGAGATAGAGCCCCACATAGGGCTCTGTGCTCAGAGTGGAATCTGCTAGAGATTCTCCCTCTCCCTCTGCCTCTCTCCTCCCTGCTCACTTGCGCACACATTCTCAATCTAAAACAAATAAATAAAATTTCTAAAAAAATTTGTAAAAATAAAGAAAAACCAAGATTCAATTCTGGCTCTAATAATTAGCTGTGTAACTTAGGTAAATTAATTAAATACTTCAGTTTGCTCAACGGGAAAACAAGGAAACTGCATTTTGTCATGGCTAGAGTGAGAAGTAAATTATATTTGTAAGTTGGCTAGCTTAAAGTCTGACATATAATAGGTCTTCCATAAAGTTAATGTCCTTCTCAACTTTCTCCAGGAAAACATTATCTAATTCTTGGTTATGTTGTCTACAGGTCAATAGTTCTCGACCGAAAAGGAGACAGCTGTTCCTCGAATGTAGTTTTATCTATTTTATGGATACAGACGAATCTATCCATTATGGACATAGACAATGCCTTTCACTACAGAATTTTGCACTGCAGTGATACAAACACTTTATTTCGGGTAGTCTCCTTGATTTTAAAAATAAGCGAACAGAGAAATTTAAATAACTCTGGAAACACAAAGTAATTAGTAAAAATTATAAGCTGAGCATTTAAGAGGCACGTAAACATTAAATATAAAACAAAAGAGGTGCCTGGGTGGCTCAGCTGGTTAAGCAACTACCTTAAAATATAGTGTTATAGCTTTAATTTATTGTTTTATTTTTATTTATTTACTTATTGTAAAGACTTTATTAAAACCCAGGACCTCTGGGATCATGACCTGAGCCGAAGGCAGACAATTAACTCACTGACCCATCCGGGCCCCCCATAACACTACATTTTAAAAAATGGCTTGACACTGCTTCAGGAGTTTGAGCCAGGTAAGAAATAAATGAGCCTATTTCATAGGAATGGTTCCCATATTACAGTCTCAATACACTCTACCAGGCAAACTGCCAGCTGCCTCTTCCAACTCACTCTAGCATTTTAACCTCACACCTAGGGCCTGACTCTACTCTTGGGTAAATTCTACGCTGGTATCCAATTGTTGTTTGTAAAAATAAAACTATTTTAGAGAAATCACATTCACTGGGAATCAGGACCCACTACCCAATGTCTCCGGCACCTAGCTCAGACAGCCACGAGACAAAAGAAGCCAAAGGAAAACTACTTATGGCCGCTGTGTGATACTTCGAGCTGCATCCAAGAAGAGAACAAGCCAAGGTCAGTGCCGCCCAAAGTGAGCCCTTCAACCACAAGCCTAAAACCACAACACAGAAGCCAGGCTGGATGAATCGAAACTAAGTCAGAAGGGTGCAGAAAGCTACGTAGGAAACACTGTGTAACACAGAAGCCACAGGTACTACAAGCCAAATAAAGGGATTAGGAGTTACTGGGGATGAGGGGTGGGGAAAGCCATTATTCTATTCAGAGGGCAAAATAATTAGACAGGTGAACTTTCTTTAGGGAAAACAAAGCAAAGACAATATCAAATTAAAAACTGAAAATTCAAAGAATAGGTAAAGGTGAACGTTTTAAGGGCAGAAGAAAACCAACTTCAATCCCAAGCCCTAAGGCAATGAATACAAATGGGAGTGGCAATACACTACAGTGATTAAAAAGAACTGCATTCAAAAACTAGAAGTACTGGTAGAGTTTGGGGGTTTTATTGCAGATTAGCATGTTTTCACTGCGATCATAAAAGGATATGCCATGGCATGCAGTTTTTGAAAAACATCAAAGTTCTCAACCTACAGCAACAAAAATGGCAGGCAATCTGAGCCAGGAGCATGTGGCTTCCTCTCACTACCAGTCTCTGAAGAATATGAGAGCACTGCAGCCCCCTGAACCCCCAGTTACTGCCCGCTCCACGATGGGCTTCTCCTGGGGGCAGGCTGGAGCAACCATACTTACTGGAGTCCTCCCACTGGAGTAAATGCAGCTTCCACGCAGAATAATACAAAAATCCCAGTACCAGAAAAAGGCAGAGGGCTAGCAGCAGATTGCGTACAAATACCAAGAGTCCCATCTTCACATGATTTACGATTTCCTACATGACCTAAAATCAAAAAACAAACAAAAAAACAATTTAGGTCTTAAAGGATAAAGCAATCATCTTGTTGATATACTCTACCTTAAAATAAGTGTGCATAGGAGAATTTGCAAATGAAGAACCACCTGAATTCCTGACATGGTGTCCTCCAACCTGCTAGTCCTGGGTCTCAAGAAAACAGCTTCACCAGTCACTCAGTATCCAAGCCAGAAATCAGCGATCACCCCAGTGTCCCTCCTCTCCCTCGTTCCCAGCAGCCAATGACCAAATTCTGGCAATTCCAACCCTGCCAGATAAACCCTCAATCACACCCTCTGCCCGCCCATCACTACCCTAGTCCGTGCCACCACTGGGCCCCAAAGACAAGCTCCCCCCATCTCCAAACTGCGCTCTCCCAAATCCACTTTCCACATGGAAGCAGGACTGGTCTGTTAGCAACACAAAATCTGACATTCCTTTCCTGCTTAAACCCCTCTCCACTGCTGCTGTGACAACACCACAACCTCGGTGGCTGAAAACATGAACATATTATCTCAAGTCCAGGTGTGGTTCAGCAGGGTCCTCTACATGGGGTCTCCCAGGGCCAAGACCAAGGGGGCGGCAGGGCTGTGCTCGGCTCTGCAGACTCCCAAGGCCAAGCCGCCTCCAAGCTCACTCATTCCAGCTACTGGCCAAATGCAGTTCCCTGCATCTGCAGAGCCGGGTCCCCATCTCCTTGCTGGTTATCACACAGTCTCTGCTCCTGTATTTCCTTCTCAAGTTTTCCAAGGAACCCCCTTCATCCACAATGGGTTAGGTCCCTGTCACCCTGAGTTTCTCTACCACATTTTGCTTCTGTGTCTGGCCAGAGAAATTTCTTTGCTTCTCAGGCTCATGTGATGAGGAGGTTGGGCCCTCTTGAAGAATCCAGAATAATGTCCCTATTTTAAGGTCTATAACCTTAATTGCATCTACAAAGTCCCTTCTGGCACATAAGGGAATATATTTTTGGATTCCAGGGATTCAGGTATGGACATCTTTGGGGTGCCATTCCTCCTCACACACCTTTCAGTAAATCCTCAATTCCTTTAGAATAAACTAATTACCCCTTAGAGTCTAGCAGCTTCTGACTGCGCCCCTACTTTACTCTCCAAGCCACCTCTTATACTCCTAACCTTGTCTGTGTCTTCTTCCAATTCATAGGAACGTAGCCTTGTTATTTCTCTCTCCCCGAGGCCTGTCTGGGACATTCTCTGCCACACTGCTTGCACCTATGGCACATTATCTGATGGATGCTCATCTGAAATGGAACATCAGCCAAGAAGACTTTCCAGGATCACCCCCAACCCCAATATTTTAAATAAAGTGATAAAAAGTTATCATTTGCAGATTTAACTGTCCACCTAGAAAAGCAAAGAGAATCAACTGAAAAACCATTAGAACTAATAAGTAGGTGATTATTAAGATTAATTTACAAAATTTTTTAAAGTTTTATTTATTTAAGCAATCTACACCCTACAGGGCACTCAAACTTACAACCTTGAGATTAAGAGTCACATGCTCTCCCAACTGAGCCAGCCAGGTGCCCCACAAAAACCAACAGCTTCTTAAAAACTATACCAGCAATAACTGATGAGAACACATAAGGGGAAGAATTCCACTCATGATGGCAACAAAATCTGTAAAATATCTAAAAATGAACAGGAGGAAATGGGCAAGATTTTCACCAATGAATGTAAGAGATCTGAATAAATAAAGACACATAATAAGCTCCTAAGTGAGAAGTTTCAGCACTGGAAATAATATATCAGTACTCTATAAATTCAATCTGACTCCAGGCAAAACCCATGTTTGTTTGTTTAACTTAAATCTAAAGTTAATCCGAAGATTTCATGCCCAAGAAGAGCCCAGAAATTAAAAAAAAAAAATAGATGAGGATTTGCCTTATCAGTTATGAAAACTGATGCAAAGGATGCCTGGGTGGCTCAGCTGGTTAAGCATCTGCCTTCGGCTCAGGTCATGATCCCAGAGTCCTCGGATCGAGTCCCGTATCTGGCTCCTTGCTCAGCAGGGAGCCTGCTTCTCCCTCTGCTTGCCACTCCCCCTGCTTGTGCTGTCTCTTTCTCTCTCTCTGACAAATAATAAAATCTTTTTTTTTAAGTTTTTTTTTTAAGTTTTTATTTATTTATGACAGTCACAGAGAGAGAGAGAGAGGCAGAGACACAGGCAGAGGGAGAAGCAGGCTCCCTGCACCGGAGCCTGATGTGGGATTCGATCCCGGGTCTCCAGGATCGCGCCCTGGGCCAAAGACAGGCGCTAAACCACTGCGCCACCCAGGGACCCCCCCAAATAATAAAATCTTAAAAAAAAAAAAAACCTAACTCAAAGCTGTAATTCTTAAGATAGATGAGTACTGGCACAGGAAAAGACAAATAGATCAATAGAACAGAGTAGAGTCTACAGATGCACTCGCAAAAGAGACAGATACACACATATATAAATGAATTTACCTTATCTATATAATAATTTATTCTATGATAAGCATATAAATTTCGCAAAGAAAAAAAACATGAAAGGCTACATAGCTAACTGTGATGTGGTTATCTCCAGGAAACACGATGAAACAATGGGAAGTACTTTTCCTTTTATATATGTCTAAAATTCAATTTATTTGTTTTAAGTCGCAAGTATTACTTCTATAATTTTTTTTTAAGATTTATTTATTTGAGAAAGAGGGAGAGAGAGTTGGGCAGCCTGGTGGCTCAGTGGTTTAGAGCTGCCTTCAGCCCGGGGCGTGATCCTGGAGTCCTGGGATGAAGTCCCGTATCGGGCTCCCTACATGGAGCCTGCTTCTCCCTCTGCCTGTGTCTCTGCATCTCTCTCTCTCCCTGTGTCTTTCATGAATAAATAAATAAAATCTTAAAAAAGAGAGAGCGAGAAAGAGAGAGCATGAGCCAGAGAGGCAGAGAGAGAGGGAGAATCTTAAGCAGACTCTGCACTCAGCACAGAACCCTACATGGAACTCAATCTCATGACCCCGAGATCATGACCTGAGCTGAAATAGAGTCGGACACAAAAAAAAAAAAAAAAAAAAAAAAGAGTCGGACACTTAACTGTGTCACCCAGCCACCCTATACCTCTATAATTTTTTATATTAAAAAAAATCAAACAACACATTGTAGAAATGTAAACTGGTAAACTCCTGAAGGAGCAACTGGGAAATAGCTACTGAAATTTCCAACATTCATGCACCTCCACCTGCTATTTCTACTTCTGTGATTTTTTCCTACAGGAACATTCCAACAAATACTTTACAAGATATGTATATGACTATTCATTAGCAATGCTCATTATAATAACAAAATACAAGAAAAAAATTTCAAATGTCCATCAATAGTGAACAAAGAAATGAATTACGGTACATCTACACAATGACATCTCTATCAGTGGGTGTCTTGGCAGGAAACAGATGGCACTCGCAAAGGAATTAACCAAAGGAAGTTAATGATGGGACTTTTTTATAGCTGTGTGATTAGAATTAAAGGAACCAACCAGGGGTGCAGGGGTGGTGAAGCACCCAGGGACCATCAACAGTAGGAAGCTACTCCTGCCTTCAAGGTAAAAGAACAAAAGACAGAAGGGTTCCAGTGGAAGAGAGCTCAGCCATCGGGAGCAGTGCTGGGGGGTGGGGGGACAGCCACTCCAGGGGCAGAGGGGGATACGAAATGCTCTGACTTCTCTCATCACTTTGATCTCTGTCAGTGTCTTTTATCAGCTGATTCCAATTGGAAGCCAGAGGGCAAGGAAGCTGGGATGATGCTGTCTGTAAAGGTCAGTCCCCAGCACAGAGGATACAGGTGGGTAATGGATCAATGAGGGGAGGAGAATAACAAGCATAGAGCATGATGTATTGGTTAGAGAGAGTGAGGCACCGCTGTATGTCCTGACACAGGGGAAATGTCTAGTATATGCTGCTAAATGAAAACAAAAATCGAGTTGTAGAATAGTAATATACATCTACGTAGGGCCTCATACTGGTGGTAACAAACAAGGGCAACAGTAATACTGAAAATTAAGGCTACATATTAAGTACATACTTAATATGCATAGACTGAAAAGTAGAGGGGGTGTTTTATACAATCTATTTATTAGTATATTTATTATTAATTTTAATTTTTATACTTATGCAAATAACAAAGTTTTCAAATTGCAAATGAACTCAGAGACTTGCAATTCTAGCAACACAAAGGACTATATATCCAGTGCTCCCAATGAAGACAAATTTAAAGTATAAGTGGCCTGCCTACAAAAGCAGGTGGCTGTTGGAAAGCCTTTCCCTTCAGAAGGTGGCTGGTACCAGGCCCTCCTCCTTCTGTCTGTCCTGAAAGCAGATGTGATACCTGAACTGCCACAGCCACACAGTGACTCCAACCTAAGGCTCCAGCCGACACACAACCATCAGTCAGCCACCTGACTTATCTGTCCATTCAGCAAATATCAAATATCACAGAGAAGGTTGAACTAATTACCTATTTTACTTCTATCTTTCCCATTATGGAAAAGGATCTTCAAATGAAGAGTTAGAACAAACACCCAAAGAGGAAACTGATTTCTAAAAGTGGATGACATACAAAGAAGAGCTTAAAATAAGTCAAGACCTTTAAGACAAGGAAAAGAACAACATATCGAGATTCTTAAAGAGATAAAATTACAAACTCATTGCTAGGACAAAAGCTTGAGGCTGTGAGAGGAACCCGTCCTCTCACATACTGCTTGGCAGTGGAAAGGAAAAGACCACATCTAACGAAATTACACATGCTTTTACCCTTTACCTCAATAACTTCACTTTTAAGAAACCATCCCAAGGGCACCTGGGTGACTCAGTACGTTGAGGGTACTACTCTTGATTTGGCTCAGGTCGTGACCTCAGAGTCATGAGATCCAGCCCTGCATCAGGCTCCGCACTCAGCACGGAGTCTGCTTGAGATGCTCTCTCTCCCGCTGCCCTTCCCTCGCTTGTACTCACT